CACCAGGAGCCTCTGCGGCTGGAGGGTCTCATAATTCTCACATTTTACATGAAGAGTAGAGAAATGTAGTGACTCGCCCAGGCACACACAGATACTAGGTGGCTGAGCTGGGACTCCAGCTTGCATCTCTCTAACTGCAAGCCTGGCACTTTCCCCTTCCCTGAGGGAGGACCTGTAGGAAGTTGGCACGGAATCAGGTGCCAAAAAAGGGCTACCACCTGGACATGGCAGGCAACGTTCTGTGGTGTTTCTACAGGCATCTCCTGAGTCACCCCAGCTCAGGAACGGGGCAGAAAAAGTTGGGGGTTGGCAAGTTAGGAACAACAGGAAGAGGACGGGGACAAAGCTTCAAGTCCGCGAGTGGGGCTGCCTGTCTTCCCTGGCCGTTCCTGGGTTGAGGCTGAGCGAGACAGGATGAAATCTGAGCAGGAGCCCAGGGCTGGGGGACTTGGCAAAGACCCAGTGTGGTGGGTGGGAGGGAGGCCGTGCCCTGGAGGGGGATTCCAGGGTTCCTGTTCTTGGCGGGGAAGAGCCCTGGATCGTGGGTGGCCCAAGCCCGACTGATCACCATCTCTCCTGATAGCCACCTGGGCACTGTGACCTGCTTCAGAAAACAGCTGCTTCTGTGGCGGTAATCCCAGCACTTCGGGAGGCTGAGGTGCGTGGATCACTTGAGGTCAGGAGTTCGAGACCAGCCTGACCAACATGGTAAAACCCCGTATCTACTAAAAATACAGAAATTAGCCAGGTGTAGTGGCGTGCGCCTGTAATCCTAGATACTTAGGAGGTTGAGGCAGGACAATTGTTTGAACCAGGGAGGCAGAGGCTGCAGTGAGCTGAGATAGGACCACTGCCCTCCAGTCTGGGCGAAAGAGCGAGACTTCGTCTCAAAAAAAAAAAAAAACGATCGAAAGAAACAACTTCTGAGTACGCAGTGGAAAAAATTCCCCAGGGGTTGTGCCAGGGTGAGGGGAAGTAGAGCTTCCTATGCGAGTTACCAGGAATCTTGGAGCTGGCCCACGCAGGAGTGTGGGAGGCAACAGAGAGGTCCTTAAAACCAGGCGGGCCCAGCCCCGGCCTCTTTCGCGGGCCTGAGGACGGAGAAAAGGTCTCACTGGTGAGGAATCTCATCTTTGGGGCTGCTTTGCCTGAGGGAGGTGCAGAGAGCAGGGCCGAGAGAGGGGCTATGAGAGGAAACACCTGTCCCCCTTGGTCAGGGGAGCAGGGCCTGGAGAGGGGTGAACCCCCATCACCTCCCTCACAGACAGCAGGAGGTGTCTGTGCTGTGAGGCTCCGCACTGTGCATTCTTTCCAGCCAGGAGACGTGAACTGGGAGGTCCTGGAGCTGCTGCATGTGGACTTGGGGGACCCATCCCTTGGCGACCTCGCCACGTCCCAGCCTCCACATCTTCCTTTGGGCTGTCCATCTCTATTCTCTCCCCTCTCATTACTGCAACCACTGCCCTCCGAAATTCTCTCGCGGCTATGCACTTCCTCTCTGTGGTGGTTTGATTAAAATAGCTGAGCCCACATCCTCCTCCTGGGGCCCACTTTGGGCTCTACTGAGTGGAGTGGCTGTCCACTCTTCAGGGCAGCCGCTCCACGCCTCTGCCACCACCACCATGAAACTGCTTTTTTTACTCTTTCCAGGGTGTTCTCAAATGCACCTGGGAGGCTGGTTTTCTCCAGGTATGGGGAGGCCAACAGATCAAGAAATGATTGCCATTTAAAAGATAGCTTGTTATTTACAGCTCCCAGAAGAGGGCGTGATCCCCACCCAGGGACACGCAGGAAGTGCCAGGTCGGCAGGTCAGGAGGAGCCGTGGGAAGCATCGCCCAGGGTCTTTGCTGTGATCTTTGGGAAAGGCTGGTAGGGCAGGAGACACAGTTTAGGACTGGCCAGTTTGAATCAGGTCAGCGGGACTCCAGGCTTCCCTAGTTGTCCAGTGTCTGGCCCTGGGGTGATTTAGGGCAGGAGAAACCTTGGCTTAAAGAGTGTGAGGGTAAGGGAAAGGTGGCCTGGGTGTGCCAAGGGACTGGCTGTGTCAGCAGTGGGATGTATCCATACAGGCCTCAGCATCCTCAGTTCTTGCCTCCTCAGAAGAAAGAATTCTCACGCCTGTAATCCCAGCACTTTGGGAGGCCGAGGTGGGTGGATCACGAGGTCAGGAGATCGAGACCATCCTGGCAAACATGGTGAAACCCTGTCTCTAAAAAAATACAAAAAATTAGCTGGGCATGGTGGCGGGCGCCTGTAATCCCAGCTACTTGGGAGGCTGAGGCAGGAGAATCGCTTGAACCCGGGAGGCGGAGGTTGCAGTGAGCTGAGATGGTGCCACTGCACTCCAACCTGGTGATGGAGTGAGACAAAAGAAAGAATTTGACTGAGGGGCATAAGGCAGAAGGAGAGACTGAGGCAAGTTTCACAGCAGAAGTGAAAGCTTATTAAAAAGTTTTAGAGTAGCGATGCAGGGAAGTAAAGTATACTTGGAAGAGGGGCCAACTAGGTGACTTGAGAGATTCAGGGATTCTGTTTGACCTTTGACTTGGGGTTTTATACGTTGGCATACTTCCGGGGTCTTGTTTTCCTTATCCGCCCACCTGCTAGCACTTGGGAGGGAGCATGCGCAGTGTGTTTACTGGCGTTGTACGCGTGTTCCCTTGAGGTGTTCTTCTCTTACCAGCCGAACATCCCTAGGAGGTCATATACCAGTTAAACTCTGCCATTTTGCCTCTTCATGCGCATGTGTGAGCCTACTCACCCAATACCTGAGATCTGACTGGAAGCGACTGACCACCAGCTTCAGGTGTTCCTGTGTATTGGGAGACTGCCTTTCCCTGGTGCTGGCTGTGACCAGTTATTATTTTAGAGAGACGGTTAACAACTGCCTGCCCATCGCCTGATGGTTGCCTGACATTCCTGTCCTGCTCCTGTCTGACCAGCTACCTACTGTCACAGTCGGTCTGCACGTGAAAGGCACGCTCACAGAGGAGCCATGTGAGGTGTCTAGGAATTAACTAGCCCTGGAAGGAGCAGGCTGTCTCTGGCCTCCAAGATGTCAAAGCATCCTAAAATACAGAAAATCGAAAGCATGTTTAGTGCCCAGGGATGCTCAGAGGCAGTGGAGTCTAGAGTCAGTCAAAGAAATAGATTGACAGTCCTGGTCACTTAATCTGCCTGAGCCTCAATTTCCTTATCTGTAAAATCAGCAACTGTTATTCATTCAACAAGTGGCTGTTTAAAAGGACAGACTCCAGGCCTGCCAAGGTCATTGATGGGTTTAGAGAGATAGCGCGTAGTGTTTGGCACACCAGAGATGCCCAGCAAGTGGCAGTTGGTGTCACTGTGCTGCAGGCTCCAGGGAGCGGCAGAGAAAGATAGGTGTGGAATGGTGGTGTCTAGGGCCATTTCTTTGGCTGTTTGGAGCCCTTGGAGCAGAGGCTGTGGGTGGACAGAATCCTCAGGAATGTTCTTGGAACTCAGAGTTGCTACTGGACAAGGGCAGGAGCCCCGGGGAGTCTGAGGCATATTTGGAGGCCAGGTCTTGGGAGGTGCCAGGGGTTCAGGCAGAGCTCTGGCACAAGCGACCATTCAACTCAGGGACTTGAGACAACAGAGCACTGAAGGGGAAAGCCCCGGGCCTGCCCAACTGTGGACAAACAAGGACTTTGGATCCTGGGAGGAAGGGAATCAGGCAGCTGCTGGTAAGGAACCTCTGAGAAGCCAAATTAGAATCAGGTGCTGGCCTGAGACACATGGAATTTCCTGGACTCTAGGCTGGCAATGGCTGTTTTTATCAAAGACAGATTCTAAGGAGTGAAGCCAAGGGCTCTGGCCTGAGAGGTAGAGCACGAGAAGGAACAAGCACAGACCCCTCAAAGGATTCATACCTCTGGGAAGCGAGGTTGTGTGGTGCAGTGAGGGACACAGAAGGACGGGGCTCAAATCCGGCCTCCACTGCTTAATGGCTGTGTGACCTCTGGCAAGGTCCCGGAGCTTTCTGAGCCTCAATTTTCCCAGTGGCAAAATGAAGACAGTGATACCTACCCTGCAGCACTCTCATGAACCCCCAGTGTTGACTTATTCTTTAGGTAGACATAGTGCCTGGGTCCCAGGAGAATGTCTTAATTTTATAAATTCTTTCAAAATCAAGAGGAAAGAAATGAACATAATAATAATGAATATATAATAATAAATCCAGCTTGGATTATGTTTTTCTTTATACCAGCATAGTTGTCAAAAATAATCGTGTGAATATAGAGATAAATATAAAGGTATAGCAGAAAGATACCTGCAAAGGCAGAAGTGCTTGGGGCCCATAAGAGCCATAACCAGGCCCTGAAAGCCACTGGCACATTGTGGGTGCCCAGGCTTCACGGCTGAGCACCTAATCTGGCCAAGGCACTATTCTCAGTGTTAGAATAGAGGGGTGCATCCGCCCAGCCTCTGCCTGCAAAGAACCATCAGGGTAAACATCCTTGAAAACAGTCAACTACAGCACCGTGAGCTAAAAGGAGTATGAGACATAGAATCATCGGCTTTCCTTCTGCCCTCCTGCTGTGGGCGTCAAGTGCTGTCTGTCCAGGAATTTTTTTCTTCCGTCTTGCATCTTTCATCAAAGGCCATGTCTAGGTTATATCAAGTCCTGCTTCTCCACGTATGCCACCAAATCTCCATTTAAGAATCCTGCCTATTCTCTGGTCCCTTTTAGCCATTTTGCCAACAGGGTGAGTATGTCTGGGGTGTTTGTGGCTAAGAGTGCACTGGTAGCAGGGACAGTGTACCCGCAAATGTTTCCATTATCCCCTCTGCCTCCAGGGCCCTCCGTGGACCAATAGGTTTTTTTGCCTCGTCTTTTCTGACTGGACTCACCTTGTTTATTGCCCACCATGATGGGGAGTGGAATAGGCGGGGCCTGGTGGGGAGCCGGGGTGGGATCTGAATGGGCCACGGGGGCATTGCCTGATAGACCTGTCGTGGGATGTGTTTTCTTTTCCAGAACCCTAGAGATGAAGGGCTTCCTCCCACTGGCTTGGTTCCTGGCTTGTAGTAAGTGCTGGCCCCATAACCTCCGAATGAACTTCTACCCCATGGGAGTAACAGAGTGGTGAAAAGGACACCAGCCATTGAGGTTGTAGAGACTTGGGTTTGAATCTTGGCTCTGCACTGACTTCATAGACGTCAGCAGGAACCTTCATGCCTCCGAGCCTCTGCTTCCTCATCAGGCACGGGCTAATGCAGTCCATGCTTAAGGCATAAGGCTGTGGCAGGGTCCTAGGAGATATTGTACCTCAGCTGTGTAAAGGTTGTGGACATGGAGGTTATGTGGCTGGCAAATGTACGAGGCAGATTTTTTCCTTGTATGCAAATAAAATAAGATTTTAAAAATCCCCAAATCAATCCAAATAAAAATCAAAACTCTTATCTAAATGTCCCAGCCTATGATTCCTGGGTCATTCTCAGCTCAGGCTTGTCCAGCTGGGAAGTGACTGTACAGATGGCTTTAGTCCCATCCTGCAGCCCCGTGACCGTATATACAACAACCCCCTGATAGGCTGTCCTGCTCTTTGATGTCTTGCCAGGTCCCTGGAGATGCCAGGAGGAGCTGGAGGCCTGATGCAGGGAGAGCCCTGGGCTCGCTGTGAAACCCTGGACAGGGCACCTTTTCCCTCCATGCCTCAGTTTCCCGTTTGTAAGATGAGGGAACTGGCTTCAGCGATTTTTAAGAGTCCTATCCTGCTTTTAGATTCTCTGCCTTATGTTCTAAAGGGTGTGAGGGGAGGGAGTGGTGGGGAAGAGGGATGTATTGCCAAGAGAGACAGGAAACTCCTGACTGCTGCTTCATGCAGATACATTATGAATTACACCTTATACGTCATGGTCACTTACTTTGTGTCTGCTACCGTGCTCAAAATTTACACACTTAATCTTATTTTAACCCTCATGATAACTCCAAGATGCAGCTGCTAATTTTGGGTCGCCGTTTTCCAGATGATGAAACTGAGGCTCTGACTCCATTCAATACCATACTTTGAATTAGTGGCACAGCCAGGATTTGAACCCAGGTCTGCTCATTTTTCAATTCCAAACTCTGAACCAATTCTCCATACTGCTTGCACCTCCCTTCCCACTAATTGAGAGAATAAAAAAGAGACACACAGGTCCGTCCCTCCAAGCCCTGGGTGGGAGAAAAGGTAGGAGATGTTGGGCAGTGGGCCTAAAGCAGGGCTGGGCTGCCTGGGTGTCACCTGGGGACATGGGCTATCTTCCAGGTGTGCCTGCTGTGCAAGGAGGCTTGCTGGACCTAAAATCGATGATCGAGAAGGTGACAGGGAAGAATGCCCTGACAAACTATGGCTTCTACGGCTGTTACTGTGGCTGGGGCGGCCGAGGAACCCCCAAGGATGGCACTGATAGGTGAGCTGATTGCTATAACTGCCCTTTGGGCTCCAGGCTCTGCACCCATGTTTTCTTGTTCAATTACATATCAGTTCTGGAAGATGAGTATTAAAGTACCATTTTACAAATAAGAAAACTGAGTCTGAAAGAAGTTAGCCGGCAATCCCAAGATCTCAGTGGCCTAAGGTGTCAGTTGGTCGACTGTGGCGTAACAAGTGGTCCTCAATGTAGTAGCTTATGCAGCACTGGTCTTTTACTATGCTTATGAATCTGCCATTTGGGTAGGGCTTGTGGGGGTGGCTTGTCTCAGCTTCAGCTTGGACAACTGGGGCTGGACAATCCACCTTCCAGATGGCTCACTCCTATGGCTGGCAAGTGGTCAGCATCTCCTGGCGTAGGAGCGGGTCAGAGGCCTCAATTCCTGTCACTTAGGCCTCTCCAAGGATGTTCAGGATTCCTCCCAGCATGGTGACTCTTGGGTTGCAAGACTGAGTGTCCCCAAACTGCAAGACCAAAGAGTATGCTGTTTTATGGTCAGCCTCAGAAATCCCATTGTGTCACTTACACTGTCCTCTTGGTCAAGACAGTCACAAAGGCTTTAAGAGGGAGGGGATCTAGAGTCCACCTCTTGATCGGGAAGTGCTAAAGTTCTAGAAGAATGTGTGAAATGGGAGATTTTGTTCCTTGGAAAGCATACCCAGCTGGGTTAACAATTCCGATACTGCTAGACGTATATAAAGGAAAGGGATGATTAAGCAAATGAAGGACAGATGGTTGGGGCCAAGTTTCTCACTGTTGGAGTGGGATAAGCCAGGGCAGGAAGCCAGAATGATCCATGTGCAAAAGGACTAGAGTTGGAGACGTCAGTATGGACTCCTGTTTAGCTTATTGTAGATGCAGATGTTTACATGTGGAAGTATGCATAGGTAGCAGTATGCATAGATAGCGTGGATATATTAGTATCATACTAATATAAGATGTAAGTAATAGGAGAAAATGGTGTTTCCTCTGTTAGATCTTCTCAGTTTTTCTGTAAACCAAGAATACTTTTTATGTGCAATCTGCTACACCTAACATACAGTCATCCCTCGGACTGGTTCCAGGACCCCTGTGAATATCAAAATCTGCAGATGCTCTAGTCCCTGATATAAAATGGCACAGTATGTGCATATAACCTGTGTGATCATATACTTTTTTTTATACACATGGGCAAATAGAAACATTCTTTTGGTATCAGTGGAGAGGGTCTAAAAGAAATGACACCCCAGTAGCAACAAGCACACTTAATGCCTAGATCTAGTTTCCAAAGTCATTCTTCAATAGAAGGCCCCTTCCAAGTCATATATATATATATATATATATAAATATAAATTATATATAATATAAATTTTATATATATACATATTCATATATAGCCAGGGTTCCTTGAAGAAATGGCCAATTCTAGGACCAAGGCAGGAAATATACAAGATGAACCTGGAACTTCTTTTAGTGCCAAAAAGTAAGGAAGTGCTTAAATAAACACAAACAAAATGAAAGCCCACATTGATGGGGATGTGACAAGGGGCACCTGTGCCGACTGAAAGAGCCCCCAGTGGCCAACACTGGAACAATTTAGCAACAAAATAACCCCAAGCTCCAGTCTTATGAGAAAAAAGAATATCAGACAAATCCCAATAGTGGGCATCTTATAAAATATCTAACCAGTACCCCTCAAAACAGTCAAAAACAAGGAAAGTGTGAGGAACTGCCACAAACAAGAGGGGCCTAAAGAGACAAGACAATGGGCCAGGCACGATGGCTCATGCCTGTAATCCCAGCACTTTGGGAGGCCGAGGGGGTTGGATCACCTGATCACCTGAGGTCAGAAGTTCGAGACCAGCTTGACCAATGTGGAAAAACCCCATCTCTACTTAAAATTTACAAAATTATCTGGGCATGGTGGCGCATGCCTGTAATCCCAGCTACTCAGATGGCTGAGGCAGGAGAATTGCTTGAACCTGGGAGGCAGAGGTTGCGGTAGTGAGCTGAGATCACGCCATTGCACTCCAGCCTGGGCAATGAGAGCAAAACTCCATCTCAAAAAAAAAAAAAAAAAAAGAAGGACAAGACAATGAAATGTAACATGGCATCCCCAGTGGTGGGATCCTGGGACAGAAAAACGACATTAGGTAAAAACTAGGGAACTCTGATTACGGCTTTTTTTTTTTTTTTTTTTTTTTTTTTTTTTACAATTAGTAAGATAATAATGATGTACTATTATTTAGTGAATAATTTTCATTAATAATGTATCAATATTGGTTCACTAATTCTAACAAGGGTATCATACTAATATAAGATGTTAGTAATAGGAGGAACTAGGTGTTTCCTCTGTAAGATCTCAGTTTTTCTGTAAACCAAGAAAACCTTTTATATGCAGTCTGCTACACCTAACATACAGTCATCCCGTGGACTGGTTCCAGGATCCATCCCCGTGGATACCAAAATCTGCAGATGCTCTAGTCCCTGATATAAAATGGCATAGTATTTGCATATAACCTATGTGATTGTATCCCCCCAAGCTTTTTTTTTTTTTTCTTTGAGACAGGGTCTCAGTGGTTACCCAGGCTGGAGTGCAATGATGCGATCTCAGCTCACTGCATCCTCGACCTTCTGTGCTCAGGTGATTCTCCCACCTCAGCCTCCTGAGTAGCTGGGACTACAGGCACGTGCCACCATGCCTGGCTGATTTTTTGTATATTTTTAAGTAGAGACAGGGTTTCACCATGTTGCCCAGGCTGATCTCAAACTCCTGGACTTTAGCAGTCTGCCTGCCTTGGCCTCCCAAACTGCTGAGATTATAGGCGTGAGCTACTGCGCCCGGCTGTGATCATATACTTTAAATCATTTCTAGACTACTTGTCATAGCTGATACAATGTAAATGCTATGGAAGTTGTTGTTGTATTGTTTGGGAATAATGACAAGAAAAAAGTATGTACATGTTTAGTACAAACACAAGAAATTAGGCCTGCTTACATTTTCCATCCATATTGGTTGATCCACAGATGCGGGACCTGTGATATGAGAAGTTTATTTCTGGCTCACATAACAGTTCAGTATGAATCACACGTTGGCTCCTCCCATCTTGTAGTTCTGCCATCACCTATGGCCTCAGAATCCTCAGAATGCTGGGTCATCTCCATCCAGCCAAAGGATGGAGGCAGAGGGACAGTGGAGTAAAGTGTGGGAGGTTTGTCTGGGCAGGTCTGGAGGTGGAGTGCATTAATTCCACCTACCTCATCTAGCTGGGACCAAGTCATGTGGCCATACCTACCTGCAAGGGAGGCTGGGAAATGTAGTCTAATCACGAGACCAGGAGGAAAACGAGGGTCCATGACCTGCTGGCTGGAAATGAGGAAAAGGAAATTACTCAGTCACACTACAAGATCCTCTCTGCCACATCGCGTCCACCAAGGTGGCCTCTGCTAAAGTGACATGGTTGAATTTTTGCTTCTATTAGGGACGGGGGTCAGGAGGGCATCCCTCCCACTCGGGATCTAAGTCTCTTGCATGTACAGGTGCTGTTGGGTGCATGACCACTGCTATGGGCGGCTGGAGGAGAAGGGCTGCAACATTCGGACACAGTCCTACAAATACAGATTCGCATGGGGCCTGGTCACCTGCGGTAAGGCTGGGGCTTCCCGTTCAGGCCATTGGAAGAGCACCTGACTTTAAGTTCAGCTGCCCTAGAGGACAGCCAGCCTGTATCTTGTTGAGGGAGGAGGGGTTGGGTACAGAACTGGGATGAGAGGAGCAGGATTACTGCGGCTATATCAGTCCCCCAGGGTAGGGCTGAAACATCTTAGCATCCACCGGGTGCAAATGCTTGACATGCTTCCTTTTCCTTGATTCCCCCCAAATATACCTGTAGAGTAGGTTTAGTCTCCTCCATTTTAGACATCAGGAAACAGAAGCTTGAAGGCCTGCCAGTGCACACAGCACGATTCAGGCTCAAGGCCTCTGAGTTCAAGGCTAAGTCTGGGGATGGTTCTGCTCTGTGAGAATGAGAGTTCCTCCAGAGCAGCAGCTGCCTCCATCATCAGACTGGGAGTGCCCCAGAGGAAGGAAGGTGCTTCCTCTATCAGACTAGGAACTCCCTGAGGGCAGGAACTGTCTCCTGAACTGAAACCTCACCCTGAGCAGCAGCTGCGCCCCTTCCATCAGATTCTCTATTCCCCTGATTTAGGAGCCATGCCTCTTTCATCAGGCTGAAAGCTCCTTGGAGCAGGAAGTCCATGGGGTCTCTGCTGAGACTGGAGCATGCTCTTCCCGCCCTCATTCTGCTCTTGGTGTCCTGTTGCAGAGCCCGGGCCCTTCTGCCATGTGCAGCTCTGTGCCTGTGACCGGAAGCTCGTCTACTGCCTCAAGAGAAACCTATGGAGCTACAACCCGCAGTACCAATACTTTCCCAACATCCTCTGCTCCTAGGCCTCCCCAGCGAGCTCCTCCCAGACCAAGACTTTTGCTCTGTTTTTCTACAACACAGAGTTCCGACTCTGCTGGGTTCCTGAGAGAGGCTCCTAAGTCACAGACCTCAGTCTTTCTCGAAGCTTGGAGGACCCCCAGGGCCACACTGTACCCTCTAGCAAGTCCCAGAGTCAGAGAGTGACTCTGGTCACAGGACTTGGTAGGGTCCCAGGGTCCCTAGGCCTCTACTTCTGAGGGCAGCCCCTCTGGTGCCAAGAGCTCTCCACCAACTCAGGGTTGGCCGTGTCTCTTTTCTTCTCTGAAGACAGCGTCCTGGCTCCAGTTGGAACACTTTCCTGAGATGCACTTACTTCTCAGCTTCTGCGATCAGATTATCACCACCGCCACCCTCCAGAGAATTTTTACACAGGAAGAGCCAAATTGACTCTCTAAATCTGGTGTATGGATATTAAATAAAATTCATTCTCAAGGCTAATAAAAACCACACAGACATTTTCCTCTGCTGTGGGGGATCGCTGGTGCCTCCTTCTCTGCCGCTGGGGTAATAAACCCAAAGTTATCTACGTTATCTCAGAGACAGAAAGGAAGATGAGTAAATGCAGGGTTTTCTGGGATGAGCTTCAGGCTTTCTCTTGGGCTTATTTCCTTAAACCTTGGGGTCCTCTCCAGTGTTGGGTCTCATTCTTCCTCGATGGGGTGGGGGAAAGATAACTGGTGATTATGCCAGCTTCAGCTTCCAGGCCAGAGAGGGTGGCACTGAGATCCCAGTGCTGGTTTCTTCAGCTGTGTGGTCTTGGACCCATTACTGAACCTCTCTGACTTTCAGTCTATTTGAGAAAGAAACCGTCTTGTTCCTTGCAATGTAAAATGAGACTTCTAAAGCCCACCTTGATGCTGATATGGGGGATGCTAAGATTCTAGGATTTCACACAGCAGGAATTTGTTTTAAAGAGGTGTCAGCTATGGGGTTTATTTTTTACAAAGTAAGGACATTTAAAAAACCAACCCATCTATCAATTCATAAAAGAAAGGATGTTTGTTCTGATACCAAGACTGCAAGAAGAAAGGATGTATTCCAAAACAAAGGAACGTCCTTCCAAGAAAGTACCTATGGCTTCTTTATTCAGACATACCCCAAAATAACTGCATGATAAATAGGGTCTATATTTAAAAAGCTCTAGTGTTGAATGTTTTCAAAATAAAATTTAATTTTATAAGATTACCCTGAATGCACCAGTGCTTTAGAAAAGTTTGATTTAGACTCGGTGTCTATATTTGACAATGCCACACAGGGAGGGACTTAAATGCCGAATTTGCTCATGAAATATTTAAAATCAAAGCCATTTCCCAGATCCAATTTTGAATGGGTATGTGGGGGAAATTGAAGGCTTCACTCTAATTCCATTTTCCTTCAATCGTGATATTCTGGATGACAGAGAAGAGAACCCAGTCCAGACCTCTCCCTTCTCCCATGAGAGTCAGGTGGGAGGCAGAGCAGTGTTTTGCTGGTAAGTTCTGCAGGAGGTGGCTGTGGGCAGGCACTTCTCATTGGCACATCCCAGCTCAGAGTCCCAGCATCCACACAGGAGCGGGATGCCACGAGGTTATGAAGGCAACACTATAGGCTGTCATGGGTTTGAGCTGGAAGGAATCATGGAGAACCTTCCTTTATCTACCAAGAAATTGAGGTACAGAAAGGTTAGGAGACTGTCCAAAAGTCACACAGCACATCAACAGCAGAAGTAGGATTCAACCTCAGATCCTAACTTTAAACCCTGAACCCTGGGCTCTGGCCACTATCCCACATTGCCTTCAATCCCAGCCCACAAAAGGAGCAGTTCAGGGACTCATCCACATTAGGGGTTCATCGGGGGAGCCCCTGGATTCCAGCTGAAGACCAGCTCCATGTCTTCTCTGCTCCAACTGCCTCTTTGGATTCTGGAGGCTGTCCCCAGGTGGTCAGTCAGTCTACGGCTCTGGGCTTCATCCTCAGTGGAGGAGATCCCATTGCTGTCTTCCACCTTGGCTGCTGTGAGCAGTTCTGGGGACATGAGAGCTAAGGGAGCCTCGAAACTTGGGGAAAGGCGTTCTCCTTGACTGTTGCATTTGCTGATCCCTTGGCTGGCAGGAGAACCATCAGGGAGGTCATCCCCTTTTAAGAGAGCTAGTGAAACATACAGACCAGATTGCAGTGCCTCCCTAGCTAGATCTTTATACATCCTTAATGGACAGATTGCCCTGAACATACAGATCCTTTACTGTCATCTGAATTGGGCTTCAGTCACAAATGTGAACCTCCAAACATAAGTAAAATGATCTCTATAAGCATATGTACAGAGGGGTTGGGCAGCGGGAGCTCCCTTATAGTTGTTACCAAACTGAAAGGCCTCAAAAGTAAAGCCCACTGATCAGGATGGAAGGGAGGAGGACAGAGCTAAGGTGGGCTGATGAAGTAGGAGGTGTATGGAGTTTCTTCTTCTTCTTTCTTCTTTCTTCTTTCTTCTTCTTTTTTGAGATGGAGTTTTGCTCTTGTCACCCCAGCTAGAGTGCAATGGCATGGTCTTGGCTCACTGCCACCTCCGCCTCCCAGGTTCAAGCGATTCTCCTGCCTCAGCCTCCGTACGATTATAGGAATGCACCACCATGCCCAGCTAATTTTGTGGTTTTGGTGGAGACAGGGTTTCACCATGTTGACCAGGCTGGTCTCGAACTCCTAACAGCAGATAATCTGCCTGCTTCGGCCTCTCAAAGTGCTGAAATTACAGGTTTGAGCCACCGAGCCTGATTGGAGTTTCTTCTTTGTGCGGGACACCATGTAGACATTATTAACTGCCCAGTGAGGCTGCTGTTTTCATTTCCATGTGAGGGGTGGGACCTGACACCCAGGAACGAAGTGTTTTGCTTGAGACCGCACAGGTAATAAGGAAGAGAGGTGGGAAGGAAGCAGTCTGTCGATCTCAAAGACGTGTTTTGTGGTCTTTTTTTTTTTTTTTTTTTTTTTTCCAGGAACAGGATCTCACTTTGTCACCTAAGCTGGAGTGCAGTGGCACGATCATAACTCACTACAGCCACAAACCCCTGGGCTCAAGTGATCCTGCCATCTCAGCCTCCAGAGTTGCTAGGACTACAGGCATGCACCACTACACCTTGCTAATTTTATTTTTTTGTAGAGCTGAGGCTTTTGTTATGTTGCCCCGGCTGGGCTTGAACTCCTGGCCTCAAGCGATCCTCCCACCTCAGCCCAAAACTGTGTTCTTAGTAGAACATCACACAGGGGAAGCTTGGAGCTGGGGCCAGGTCTTGCAACAGGCACCGGGGAAAACATATTTTGTTTTGTTCAGGGTGGGTGTGGCAAGTTTGGATTGTGTAACTTTAGCTAAGCTATGTTTCCCAGAATTCCTTTCCCTGTAGAGTTCTGGGTTAGGTTCTGGTTAGTTGCTGTAGTTTAGAGCCCAAAGAGATGTTTTGTTGAGATTTGGAAGGCAGATGGGAAGTGCAGTCATATTCTCTTTACACTTGGGAGCAGGGCATGGTGTGTTTGTGGCTCAGGCCCATGGATCACGGATCTGCTGGCTCGCCTTACTGGGGCGAGCCTGCTGGATTTCTTTGTTAACTTCTCTGACTCTTGGTCCAGATGTGTGTTTAGCTCTGTAAGTAAGGGAACCAGCTTCCCCTGCAGGGTGCATAGGCAATGAAGCTAGGCTGGAAGGTTTTGAGACCCATCTGGTTCTTGTTTGTTCTTTTGGGTTCCATGCATCCTCCCAGGTTCCAATTTGTCCTTGCTGTCTCCTGCCCCTTCACACCCATCTTCCGTTTCAGACTGTGTGCCTTGCTAACTTCAAGCTGTAGCATCTGGCACAGGAGAAACAGCCTCCTATGAAGGACTAAGCCAGCAGTCCCATCTGTACCAGGTCAAATCTCTACCAAAAAAATATTGTTGTATAAGAGTACTTTTGCCTTTCTGCCTGAACTCCTTAACCTCTTCAGAACTTGGTACTAGGAGAGTTTTCTGAGGAACAGAGCCAGAAGGATGGGCTCTTTGAATTGCTTCTGGGTCATCTGGAATTGGTTTTCTTATTTGATTAGATTTAAAGGCATAAACGACTGGTTTTTAGTGGTAAGGGGAACATTGATTGACCACAGCCTGAAGAGATAAAACAGCTGCTTAAATGATCACCTCTGTACACACCTGTTCAAGGGTGACCAAGTCGTTGATGGCACAGAGTGCTTTAGTGGAAACAGAAAAATTATTATGGGTTGGAGAACTTGGAAAAAGAAAGTGATGGTCTCAGGCTTTAAAATCTCACTCAAGATCCACAGACAGGGCCAGGCATGATGGATTACGTTTATAATCCTCGTGCTTTGGGAGGCTGTAGTGGGAGGATTCATTGAGCCCAGGAGTTTGAGATTAGCCTGGGCAACATAGTGAGGCCCTGCCTCTACAAAATAAAATCGGCATACAGGACATGAATACTTCTTTGTCTACCTGTATGGAAGACAGATGCCTGTTAAAGAAAGCCAGTGGAGTACTGCAAACTCAATCAAGCAATGCCTCCAATCACAGCTGCTGTAGTTTTGTTGCTGCAGCCAATCAACACATCCTCTGGCACCTGTTTTATAATTATTCCACTGCAGAATGACTTTTTCCTTATGCCTATTAGTAAAACTGTCAGAAGCATTTGCTCTCAGCTTGAAGGGACAGCAATACACTTACACTTTCCAACTGCAGGACTACGTTGACTCTTCAGCTCTATGCCATCATCTAGTCCAGAGGGACCTTGATTATCTTTGCATCCCACCGGACGTCAGCATTGGTGATGACATGTATGACAAGTATGTGCCTTAGGGGGGAAAATCCCACAAGAATTCAGGAGCCTGCTACTGCAGTGGCATTTTCCAGGGGGTCCTTCAGTCTGGGGCATGTTGAGATATCCCTTTCAAAAGGTAGGACAAGTCACAGCATCTGGCCCTCCCATCTATTGAGAAGGAAGCACAGTGCCTTGTGGGCACTTCAGATTTTAGAGATATAGCTAATATTTCAGGTTAAAGTACCACTGAAGTACCATTTACCAATGGTACCAATGAAGTACCACTTCAACCCACTTACCAATCGACCTGAACAGTTGCTTGTTTTGAGTGGGGCCTAGAACAAAAAGGTCCAGGCTGCCATGCAAGTGGCTCTGCCACTTGGGTGGTATGACCCAGCAGATGCAATGGTGCTTGACATGTATATGCACATAGAGATGCTACATGGAAGCTCAGAGGGGCCTCTGTGGGTAAAGCATAGGGCAGACCTTAAGGGTTTTGGAGCAAAGCCATGCCATCAACTGCAGAGGACTACTCTTCTTTTGAGAAACAGTATCTGGCTTGTCAGCAGGTCTTGGTAGACACTGAATGCTTGACCTCAGGTTGCCAAGTTATCATGAGTCCTGAGATGCCTATCATGAACTGGGTGTTAACAGGCCCATCAAGACAAAGTTCAGCATGGATAGCAGCAATTGCAAGTCAAATGGAAATGGTCTGTGTGAAATCGGGCTTGAATAGCCTCTGAAGGCCCAAGTAAGTTGTATGAGCATCCCCGTGGCCCCAGTGCCTGCCACAAGCCTCCTCCTTCACCTGTACCTATGAGTTCATGGCAAGTTCCCTGTGGCCAGATGCAGGAGAAGGAAAAAGACCCAGGCCTGTTTTACAGATGGCTCTCCACATATGCTACCATTCCCTGACAGTGGACAGCTGCAGCATTGCAGCCTCATCTGGGGTGCTGCTGTTTACATAGGGTGTATTAGTGTTGTTAACCTTATATCTCAATATTCAGGTCAGAGGATATCAAAAGGTATTGTCACTCAACTAGAATAGAAATGAACATTGCCTAAAGATGGATAAAAGGACTTTGTATCCTCTATCCACTTTGGGGAGAGGTTAGCTTGTTTTAGATTGTATACAGGGAAAATCGCATTATGCTTGGCAGGATGTGGCTATTGCCTCTGTCTGGAAAAGGGGCATATAGGTGCCAAGTCAACAAGGGGTGGACTCTCAGGGGTTTGTATTATTTCACTTAATTAAGCTGAAGTTTCATTTCCTAGAATTACCTTCCCTGCGGAGTTCCAGGTTAGCATGGGTCTCAAGAGATGTCTTGCATAAGATTTGGAAACTGGTATGGAGTAACTTAACTTTTACAATCTCATAGTTGGAACAGGGCATGAAATGCTGTTGCAGCCA